GTCACAATCTTGGCCCAATTAAAATGTTCCCTCATATATATGTAAGAGCAATAAATGAAGGTAAGACAAAAAATAATCTTTAAAATATCTCTCAGTGTAGTCATGCCCGATCAGACTAAAAGTTATTAAAAAATCATTCAAAAATACTTCAATATGTATTAAGTCTCTGAAAACAACCAAAATGAATAAAATCATAATTTTATTAAACATCTACTGAAAATATGCATATGAATTATACTCACATTCTTAATGCAAATGCCATCCTAGCTAAGAATTTTGAGAATTAAAATATCAAATATAATGCCTTTGAAACCATAGTACAAAATCTTAAATCAAGGAAACTATTAAAAGCATGACATTTCTATTTATTGTCACTATAATATAAATATATAAATGAATCAAATTTAATTTAATTTATATTTTATATAGGTTTAAAATGTTACTGTGTGCAACCTGAATATTTGTTTTAAGTACTTTCCTCCTAAAATTCCTCACAGAAGGAACATTCAACAAAATTGATAAAATAAATATGGAGTCATATTAATTTAACTAAGATATTCATATGAATAAACAAAACCGCATGAGAAAATGAACAAAATAAAGACTGGGGCTACTGAGAATATTTTTAACAGAATGTTATTTCTATTCAAGTAGTATGTTTTCATTCAAAGTTTGCTTTTGTTTTGTTTTGTTTTGTTTTTTTGAGATGGTCTCACTATGTATTTGAGACTGACCTGGAACTCACTATGTAGCCCAGGCTGGTCTCGAACTCAGTGATCCTCCTGCCTTAGCCTACAGAGTGCTGGGATTCCCAAGTGCCACCATGCCCAGCTTGCTATCTCTTTTTTCCAGAATTTACCAATTTATACCTTTTTATCAAAAAACAAAGATCTTAATGCAACAAAATTTTTCATGTATCAATAGGAAGAATAAAGTACTATAAAAACATAAAGAACAAAAAAGTTCACTGATCCTACACTTGGATGATGCAACCCATACCAAAATGCTGTAAAAGTATCTAAAACTTTTTTTTCACTTTAACTCACTGTAAGTTGGAAATAAGAAATTAGCATATTAGTATTGTTCCACAGCTCACGTTCCATACCGATTTCCTAAACTGTTTTTATTGGGGTTAAGTACTAAAGCAGAAACATTTCTGCAAATACTATTCTTACTGACTAAATTTAGTGCTGTCATGCTTTTTCCTTATTTGCCACAAATTGAAACTGAACAAGTCATTTTGCAGAATGTGAGGAATTTTTTATATCTTTCTGTCTTAATTTTAAAAGAAAAAAGTCCAATTGCTTTGTAAACTAAGTTCAAAGGTTTTTATATTGTAAATTTTAATAGGTAAGGAGTATAACAACACTCATGATTTGGGGTCTAACTAAAATATTATTTGTATCTGCCCAAATTGGTTTGGTTAAACCATGTTGGTCACAAATTAAATCTTTCTTCTATTACTTTTTAGTTCTTTGTGAAAAAAGGATTTTTCTAAAGTAAAAGGCTTGAAGGAAATAAGGCAATTATTTACGACAACAGTTCTTTCTCAATAATTGTTACCATATAAAAGGCAAGCCAGTACAATGTAAATTCATCGTTATGTGGCCTCTAATAAATAGATCTAGTGTTTTCAAAATGCTGGTGTCTCAGCCAAAATCTTTAACACTATAATGGAGATATGACAACAACAGCTATTCCTGAACTTAAATATATTAATATTCCTATTTGTAAAAGTTCTTTTCTTTTTATTAATGGCGGACTCCATTTTAAAAATACATGAAACTACTCTGGAATGTCAAAGCAAAAGTTAAGAAATATCTGCTATTAAAAAAGCATCTTTTTTTCATTCAGACTCAATTCACTTTACAAAATTCCAATTATTTTTACAGTAATACGAAAGCTATTGTGTAGATTAAAGGAAATAATATATTGACTTAGGATTTCTACAGAAAGTTGGAAATTTTAAGCTAAGACAATTATATAT